ATTCAGCAGTTGTTATCATTCCTCAGAGGATAAACAGCATGAATAATTGAGCTTCATCACAATTTGCTTTCTTATGTAATCTTTATATTGTAGATTATGTTAAGTTGTATCCTCTTTTACTATGTTCATCAGCCCATTCTAGATTTCGTCCTCTTTACGACCTTGATTCCAGCATAGCCCTTGTGGTATTGGTGCCCTTTTTAGAAACAGATGAAATTCCGTAAAACGAGCACAGAATGCCGCCGTCTCGACCTTTATATAATGTTAGGAATCGATTCGTCGTGTTGACCCTTCCTGCGCATGAAGATACTTGACACCGTGAGATAATTCATTGCATTAATACCGTACACGGACATAGCAGTTCTTGGTCCGGTACTAAGGTTTCGCCTCTGTTGAGTGCGAATACATGGAAGAACAATATCCACAGTTAGTCAAGAGCCAGTGAACATGTTCCTGTATGTCGCAAATGGGAAATTTATCGACGTTTGGCCTGGGCTGAGTTATGCCAAACATATCATCTCTGTTCATGACAAACGCACCTGATAGTCTTCCACAACGATTTTAAAAAATTCAATTTTGGACCTGTCGTACTGTATTGTTCAGCTTGCTTTCAGCTTCCCTGTTCAGTACGGACCCTCACCACATTTATTCTTATGGAGTTCAGCTTGAGCTCGTTTTCTGTGCAGCTGCACACGCCTTTTCAGTAAACGAGGAAAGAAGTTCATCACTGCCACTCAGAAGAACTGCCTCAGTCGCATATTCTAAGTCCATGAGGCACTTCTGTGAGTGCCTTGACCTCGCATCCGTTGCAACAGAAGTCCGCTTCCACAGTACCACCTGCATTGTTTCGTAAAGAATGATCTGGTGCAAAACAGACAAATAGGAGGGAGGCAATGACTCCCTGTTTAACTCAGTCCTTTCTTGATTTTGGCCCATTTTAAAATGCGTTCGTCTACCTTCTTGGCGCTGGTCGTCCCAGAGTTCATCAGCCTCGTTATGAAAACAACTGTTCTGCAAAGCTGTGTACAGTGGAACGCCAAAACGCATGTAGTTGTGATATTTGATTCGCAAGAAGTTGGGATTCCGTTCCAACGTTGTCTGAATTGCTGCTCTGTGATCTCTGAAAGACGTTGAGACTCCGTGACGTTACTCAGGGAGTTCTCTTCGACCGCTTGCAAAGAGGGTGGCAATTTTCACATCATTATTCACCAATCATTGTCATGAATGTGCATAAAAAATTAAATTGATATCTGCAAGCTGATTTCCCTCCAGTGCAAGGTGTCTATGAATCATTGCAGGATACACAATATGTTTATGACCAAAAATGATATTTATGTAGTATTGAACAAAGCGACATGAAACAGCCGTGTTTCCTGCCTATTTCACTAAGCAAAAGTGCTAATCTTTGTCTTTCGGTTTAGAG